AGTAAACACAGACAAAACTAGTAATAGTCGTCATGTCACAGTAAACACAGACAGGACTAGTAATTGTCGTCATGTAACAGTTAACACAGAAATTACTAGAAATTGTCGTCATGTCAGAGTAAACACAGACAGGACTAGTAATTGTCGTCAAGTCACAGTAAACATGGACAGGGGTAGTAATTGTTGTCATGTCACAGAAAACACAGACAGGACTAGTTGTTGTCATCATCACACAGTAAACACTGACAGGACTAGTAATTGTCGTAATCTCACAGCAAACAGAGACGGGACTAGTAATTGTCGTCATGCTACAGTAAACACAGACAAGACTAGTAATTGTCGTTATGTCACAGTAAACACAGACAGGAGTAGTAATTGTCGTCATGTCACAGTAAACACGGACAGGACTAGATATTGTAGTCATGTAACAGTAAACACGGACAGGACTAGTAATTGTCGCCATGTCACAGTAAACACGGACAGGACTAGTGATTGTTGTCATGTCACAGTTAACACACACAGGACTAGTAATTGTCGTCATGTCATGGTTAACACAGACAGAACTAGAAATTGTCGTCTTGTCATGGTTAACAAAGACAGGACCAGCAATTGTTGTCATGTCACAGTAAACACAGACAGGACTAGTGGTTGTCGTCATCACACAGTAAAGACTAAAAGGACTAGAAATTGTCGTCATGTCACAGTAAAAACAAAAAGGACCAGTAATTGTTGTCATGTCACAGTAAACACGGACAGGACTAGTAATTGTCGTCATGTCACAGTTAACCCAGACAGAACTGGTAATTGTCGTCATGTCACAGTTAACACAGACAGGACCAGTAATTGTCGTCATATCACAGTTAACACAGACAGAACCTGTAATTGTGGTCATGTCACAGTCAACACAGACAGGACTAGTATTTGTCGTCATGTCACAGTCAACACAGACAGGACTAGTAATTTTCGTCATCATCACAGTAAACACTGACAGGACTAGTAATTGTCGTCATGTCACAGTAAACACGAACAGGACTAATATTTGTTGTCATGTCACAGTAAACACGGAGAGGACTAGGAATTGTCGTCATGTCACAGTAAACACAGACAGGAATTGTAATTGACGTAATGTAACAGTAAACAAAGACAGGAATAGTAATTGTCGTCATGTCACTGTAAACACAGACAGGACTAGTAATTGTCGTCATGTCACAGTAAAAACAAACAGGACCAGTAATTCTTGTCATTTCACAGTAAACACAGACAGGACTAGTAATTGTCGTCATGTCACAGTAAACAAAGACAGGACTAGTAATTTTCGTCATGTCACAGTAAACACGGACAGGACTAGTTATTGTAGTCTTGTAACAGTACACACGGACAGGACTAGTAATTGTCGCAGTGTCACGGTTAACACAGACAGGACTAGAAATTCTCGTCTTGTCACAGTTAACACAGACAGGACCAGTAATTGTCGTCATGTCACAGTAAACATACGGACAGGAGTAAGTAATTGTCGTCATCTCACAGTAAACACAGACAGAACTAGTAATTGTCGTCATGTCACAGTTAAAACAGACAGGACCAGTATTTGTCGTCATGTCGCAGTAAACACGGACAGGACTAGATATTGTCGTCATGTCACAGTTAACACAGACAGGCGCAGTAATTGTCGTCATGTCACAGTAAACACAGACAGGACCAGTAATTGTCGTCATATCACAGTAAACACAGACAGGACTAGTAATTGTCGTCATGCCACAGTAAACACAAACAGGACTAGTAATTGTCGTCATGTCCAGTAAAAACAAACAGGACTAGTAATTCTTGTCATGTCACAGTAAACACAGACAGGACTAGTTATTGTCGTCATGTCACAGTAAACACAGACAGGACTAGTAATTGTCGTCATGTCACAGTAAATACAGACAGGAATTGTAATTGTTGTCATGTCACAGTGAACACAGACGGGACTAGTAATTGTCGTCATGTCTCGGTTAACGCAGACAGGACTAGAAATTGTCGTCTTGTCACAGTTAACAAAGACAGGACCAGTAATTATCGTCATGTCACAGTAAACACAGACAGGAGTAATAATTGTCGTCATCTCACCGTGAAAACAGACAGGACTAGTAATTGTCGTCATGTCACAGTTAAAACAGACAGGACCAGTACTTGTCGTCATGTCACAGTAAACACGGACAGGACTAGATATTGTCGTCATGTCACAGTTAACACAGACAGGCCCAGTAATTGTCGTCATGTCACAGTAAACACAGACAGGACTAGTAATTGTCGTCATGTCATAGTAAACACAGGCAGGAGTAGTAATTGTCGTCATGTCACAGTAAACACGGACAGGACTAGTAAATGTCGTCATGTCACAGTAAACACGGACAGGACAAGTAATTGTCGTCATGTCACAGTAAACACAGACTGCACTTGTAATAATCGTCATGTCACAGTAAACACAGACAGGACTAGTAATTGTCGTCATGTCACAGAAAACACAGAGAGGTCTAGGAATTGTCGTCATGTCACAGTAAACACAGACAGTACTAGTACAGTGCTGCTATCCTATAAGTTGACATTTCTATCCTATCCTATCGTGTATCCTGCATCCACAATCCTATCCTGTGATTTCAGTCTAATCCTATCCTATCCTATCCTGCAACTCTCAGTTTTTAACACTGCATGAAAATTCGGCTTTACAAAACAAGTAAAGATAATGTAAATTTATTATTTACAATGCCTTTAACTGGCTTTTCTGAAAAAAGTCAAAGTTGGAAAAGGTAACCTTTACATTAACTTTACATGCACTTAAATATGATGTAATGTCCCACATTGTCTTGACTTTACAAAAAAGTAAAGTTAATATTTACAACCTTTAAACACCATATTTAGGATGTATTAAATCTGATAATTATAGATCTTAAATTTAATTAAATACCATCTTTAATTACCACAAAAGTTAATAATTTCTGTTTTCCATTCTAGTGAATAAAGCCTTATGCAATTTATAAATAAGATTTTTCTTCCAAGTCGATACTGCGGAAGTCTGGACATCATAATTAATATATACAAAGTAACAAAAAGTTGACTTTAAATTTGTTTATTACAATTTTTTTTTACAAACATAAGATCAAAAACATCAAGATTTCTTGACAGTATATGTTGCCCACATCCTATCCTGCAAATTACGTACACATAAATAAGTATCGAAGACAGAGTACATTTCACGAAAATGTTTTTCGTACGTGACATGTTTTATAATAAAACCAACTGTACATTCTTGAATTTAAAGTTGTGAATCAAAATAAAACTACTATGTTCCTCTTTCTTGTGGATATTGGTTTCAGTGGAAATCAATAACTGTCAAAATGTATTTGTCACATCTCCCTTTTCAGAGTCCAAAACTTTTCTTCCCATGCAGGCATTCTTCTAATGCTTTTCCTACAAGAAAAAAAATAAATCTATAAGTATATTTTCAGTGCCATGCATAAGTATGAATATTTTCAAAGGCATCTGTTTTATCAGAATTCACAATACCATGATTGATAAAAATTAAAACAAGGTACAACATAATTAATAAATAAAAAGTTCATACATGACCTTTAACCTAAAAAAATGTAAATTTATTAATTTTAAAAGACGAGTGTACCGATTTTTATTGATATATTATATGAAGAATGAATGGGTTAGGTCATGTATCCCTTATCAAAAAAATCCTAAAGCCTAAAATTACAATTTGAGAATTATGTATTTTTTTATGGGTACTTATCACAATCAAAGAATAAATCCCTGAAACATAAAGAAATGATAGGTTTTCCTGACTACTCAGTAGTCAGTTTACAAAAAGAACAAAATAGTGCTACATATTTAGCTCAGGCCATACAAAGTTAATTACTTGGTTCTCAGGCCTTTTTTCAAGAAATATTATAAGGGAGGGAGGCATTTTTTTTTCTTTTTAATTGCCCTCAAAACACGATGAGGCAGCTTTTTACATTGTACAAAACCTCAAAAAATGATGAGTGAGGTGATTTGGTGTTAATGTTTTATTGATTTAGCAATAAAAGGGTCAATGAAGCACCCTTGGAAGAGATGTGGGAGGGCCTGAGAACCAAGAAATTAATTTTTTTTGCCTTAGCTGTACATGTGTACAGAATCATAGTCAGGTTATGGTTTAGGATATATGTACCTTTTTCCCAAATAGCATGTTTCTGCTCATGAACTTTTTCCTGATATGGAACAGTAAAAGGACTTTAGGTGAGAGTCCCTCAAATTTAAGATGACAATCATGCTGAAACAGAATTCATTCAGTGATTAACATTTTATACACCTAGACAAATATATAGTCAATATTTTTATTAAAAATTATGAGTTTGAAGCACACAGTCACCAAAGAATGAATTGATTTTGAAAATTCATACACAATGCAATCACAGTTAATAGCTATGAACTGCCAAACACCCTTTTTTTATCAAGAATACTTTAAAATTAAATCTAAACAATACTTGCCATCTATAATATGAAACTTGAGAACCCGCCTCTTCTTCATGGCAGATCTTTTAATTTTCTCATGGTAGGCTGAGTAGCTTGAGCCTATACAAAAGAAATTGAACATTTTATACGAATACATCTGACAATGATGACTCCCGAGCAAGTCAAGCACTAAATAATGTAAATGTTTGTTCAAGTTACATTTCACGATACTTATTATTTGATTTTTTAAAAATGTGCTTGTACCAAAGAACTTTGGGATCCTCAATCATGTTTTGTCGTCTTCCTCGCCCCGTCTGGATGTTTTCCCTTCAATAATCTGTATACTGATTTCACTCAACCTGTATTTTAACAAAATGGACACAATGAATTAAAATACAAAATGTTATAAATAAAATAAACTTGTTTGTCAATTTCGGAGTTGAAACTCTCAGCCAAGGCATAAATACATCTGTAACTAAGTTTTATGACAACTGATTGTGTATATTCTCAGTAATTAGCAAAAACCCGGTTTCAGTTTCAAATTCCCGGCCCGGCTCGGTTTTAACTACTCATTTTAGTCCCACTTTTCTTTGTCTTGTTTAACATTCCAGAGACATACACCTTTACAGAATAAACTGAAACCCATAAACATTTAATCCCCAAATTATCAAAATACTAATCTAACATTCTGGCAGTAAATAACATATACAGCGAAGTTTTGCTTGACTTTCATTGTTTCACTACATGTATGCACAATGTACTGATCTATGCTGAAAGTGAAAACGGCTGGAAATCGTAAACAAACCTGCAGTGCATGCCAATTCGGGAGTTCGAGCAGTTGTCAAGACAAGAATCTCCTGAAATCTAGACGAGGTTTCAAAAAATTACCACAGGTTGCAAACTTCGTCAAAATAGCGATGCAGACCCGCTCCACTTGATTTGAAATGATTGGCTATTCAACCAAATACACAGTGCCATATTTGGTATGGGTTACTTATCAGAGTAGATCGTTCGTTTTACATTCGAGAAGAGTTTACATATTACTTGAATGAAGAGGATAACATAATACTGAGCTGAAAATTGTGTGTAAAGTATGTTTTAGTAGTTTACAATACAGACTGTAAATGTGCGGGAGATTTTATTGATATTTAAGCTTGAAAACAAAACAAATAAACGTAGGACTTATTCACGGCAATGTATGGGAACCAGTCTAAAAGGCAAAGAAAATTCCGCCAAGTAAACAACAAAGAAAGGGATTTGGGATGTTGTCAGTTCACAGTTGTATGTGTACATTATGTGCGACGGTGACTGCAAGGTAATACATGTGTCTTATTTGTTGCGAATAATTCGTTTCATTTTATTATGGAAATTTATCTGTCCCAACACTAGCAGAAATATATAATTAATCTGACTTCGAAATTCCTTCCTCTCTGTTCCCCCAAGTACATGTAACACTCTTCGCTCTCATTTTTTTTTTAATTTTCATTGTATATTTTTTTGTAGAAAAAAAGGAATGTGGAGCTAATGCATGCTGCTAAGGATGGAAAGGTCTTGTGTTTATTGGTTGTGCCTAAGTAACCAGTCATAGGTGTACCTTATTTCAATTTTAGGTAATGTCTTTTGAGTTTTTTTTAAGTAGAGTGAACAATGCATTTTTCATTCAATATAAATGTAAAATTCTAGAGATAATTTTTTTCAACATTGCTGGATACTCACTACGTGATTTTATCTAAAAAAGTATTTAAATTATTTTCTCACATTTTTTAAAGAGGCCGGGTATGGTGAAGAGATAATTCATTTTTTATTCAAAATTTTATTTTCCATGCATTTGTACAGGGAGTCTGTATACATTTGAGGTGAGCGGCAGATTTTATTTTGAAGATGGGTGACTTTCAGATGTTGTGATGAAGATTGTTGAAAGGGATTATCAACATAGAACCAGTCCATATGAATGTGCAAGTCAGGTGAGGATTGGACTTAAATGTGTAATCAAGAAATGTTTATACATAATGTGCGATGGTGACTGCAAGGTAATACATGTGTCTTCTTTTGTTGCGAATAATTCATTTCATTTTATTATGGAAATTTATCCGTCCCAACACTGGCAGAAATATAATATTAATCTGACTTCAAAATTCCTTCCTCTGTTCCCCCAAGTACATGTAACACTCTTCGCTCTCATTTTTTAAAATTTTCATTGTACATTTTTTGTAGAAACAAGGAATGTGGAGCTAATGCATGCTGCTTAGGATGGAAAGGTCTTGTGTTTATTGGTTGTGCCTGAGACACCAGTCACAGTTGTACCTTACTTCCATTTTAGGTAATGTCTTTTGAGTTTTTTTAAGTAAAGGGAACAATGCATTTTTCATTCAATATAAATGTAAAATTCTAGAGATAACTTTTTTTCAACGTTGCTGGATACTCACTACATGATTTTATCTAAAGAAAAGTATTCAAATTATTTTCTCACATTTTTTAAAGAGGCCGGGTATGGTGAAGAGATAATTCATTTTTTATTCAAAATTTTATTTTCCATGCATTTGTACAGGGAGTCTATACATTTGAGGTGAGCGGCAGATTTAATTTTGAAGATGGGTGACTTTCAGATGTTGTGATGAAGATTGTTGAAAGGAATTATCAGCATAGAACCAATCCATATGAATGTGCAAGTCAGGTGAGGATTGGGCCTAAAAAAAATTTTGTTTGTTTCCTGTAACCCGACCGACCCATTCAAATTATGCCTGGGTGGATTTTTTTCCCTGACAAATGGCAAAACTTTGTTTGATCAATCAGCTGATTCCATTTATTAAATTAAAATAATAGCTTGTAGCTTAATTTGAGACATAAAATATGTCAACCTAGTTTACGTTTACCTTAAATATAAAGAGAAATCATTATTATAACAACAGTTTCCCCCTACAACTTTCTGAAGTTTGTTTCTGCCGCTAGACAGCCATTTTGGACGCCATGTTGGGTGTCCACTGTAAGTATAACACCTGGTATTTTCAGTCTGGGGATGTTTCACCATTCATAAGCAAAAAAAAAAAAAAAATTCCGACCTACCGACCCTTGATTTTTTGGGAATGTTACAGGAAACAAACTTATTTTTTTTTTTAAGCCTTGGACTTCAACGTGTAATCAAGAAATGTTTATATATTACTTAGCTTAGTGAAAGCACACCACAAACATTTTAAGTATCTCAGTAAGTTTCATGGATATTACAGATGTATCACAATCATATGTTTGACATTGAGTCGCATTGTCTAAATTTCCATTATGTTAAGTTATACATGTTTTAGGTTAAAGCTTGTGCTTTAATTTCAATAGAAGTAATGAAAATCTTTTTAAAATTGTATTGTTTTTCTTTATAATTTTGAAAATGATTATTATTAGGACTTGTACAACACCTGAGTACCTAGATGACTGTTGAACTAATTGGTGAACAAGAAAAGATGTCAGAGAGGGGAAACCAATTCAGATGTCATGATCAAGAATATATACTCTTATCAATGATATGATCAAGAATATGTAAACTTGTAATGATTTAAAATATCTTATAGATCTGTAAATCACTCTTAATTACTTAATTGTTCACACATTATCATCTACACTTATGCTATAAATCTTATCTGTATATTAATCGCCCCCTCTTATCTAACCCCCTGCTGATCGTAATGACCTGTGTATTGACTCCTGATCTTAAGGATCTTGTAATGTGCTCCTGATCGTCAGGAACAGATCTTGAGTATATATATAGTGCAACAGAATTTTAGAATAAGATAGGAAGATTGAAATATAGAAGACTTAGTAGATAGAACTGTTAGAGATAGATAAAGTTACTCACTTACTTGGACTATTACCTAATATTTCTTTGATTTATATGTACATGTGATTGTTTTACTTGGATTTTATTTTTTGTGAATTATTTTTCCTGAATGTTTCTATTTGTGATGTGCTGTGTAAGTAAACTGTAGACTAGAATTTCGGCATCTATTTTCAAGATATGAGGAACAAGGATAAATTAATTTATTCATGCAAACTGACATTATGAAATGTGTTGTAAGACCGCTCGGTGCGGCGCTACAAACTAACTATGAAAGATCTTGCAGATTTATAGATGAACATTCAAGCATTCATAGTTTTGAATGTTATTCAGCCAGAGAGTTTTAGCACAAATTTAATTTTCAGTACAGTATTTTAAACTGGATATGTAATTTTAAGTACAGTTATGTAAAATGAATATATGTTACTTATTATGATTGTCAATTTTCAACAGGACATAATTGTAGTTTATTTATACGATCACTCTTGCAGAACAAAACACACAGAACTTTTTTTCTCTGTGTGCATCATACACTTGTAAACGTTTTACACCATCATGTATACATATTGTACATCGATGACATGTAAATCGAGCACACACATGAAAATGCGTATATCTGAATACATGCAAACATGCATCTACCATAACCTATTACATATTTTCCAAGGTGTGTGAAGTCGAGCACATACATGAAAATGTGTGAAGCTGGACACATACACAAATACACATGCATCTGCCACAACCTATTACATATTTTCCCAGGTGTGTGAAGTCGAGCACATACATGAAAATGTGTGAAGCTGGACACATACACAAATACACATGCATCTGCCACAACCTATTACATATTTTCCAAGGCGTGTGAAGTCGAGCACATACATGAAAATGTGTGAAGCTGGACACATATGCGAACACACTAACATATATCACAGACATAAAAACATAATCTAAACTAAGTCAAGCACAGACAGGCTCACTAGGTGAAGCTGGACTCATACATGATCTCATGCATTTTGCAAACTGCATCCTCACATATATTCTAATAGATTTTTCACCATTTTTTGTGTTTGTGAATATGTAAAATGCATCATTTTGCATTACAAGTTGAGGATGTTATTAGGCTGTACATAAGCGCAAATCAAATAGCCTTTTATGTAATTTTTTTCACATTTTTAATTCAATTTAAACTGCAAAGTTTATTTTATATATGTACATGCACCATAAAGAATGAATAATATTGTACCGGTATTATATTTTAAGTGAAATGGGACCTCCATTTCATAAGCAGAAATGTGAAATTTATACTTATCATCTGTATTTATTTTTAATTTTGTCTCACATGTATCTGAATGTTTAAAGGAAAACAAAAGTCAAAGATAGCTCAATATAATGTTAATATTCAAGGTTATAACTGGATATTGTTTGTGCTGTATATCTGACTCATCATATGATGAGAAGCCAAAATGTAGAATATTTTTGTTTGGAAAATGAAAATTATCAATATGCCAATTTTTCCCATTGTTATATTATTAATTAATATATCATTAATATCAATGTACATATAAAAAATCTATGCCATCCAATCCAGAGAGTTGTAGGCAATCCTGGTGCAGATAATATTTTTTTCTCGTGTTTTGTAGTAGAGTGGGAACACATTGTATGGGTTGAATGTATAAATGGTTTTGGTTGTATATGTTGGCATGGCCAAAGGAAGGCCAATGAGAAATGAGTATTCATTAATGTGTTCAAATCATTCTAAGCCAGTGCTCTTCAATACATACGCATTTTTTTTTTGCTTTATATATAAAATATATATCATATTTGTATAAATATATATAATGGTAATGGAAATAACAAATTGTTGAAATGTATTTTAATTTGGATTTTTTCATACTTGCAAATATTATAGGGTGTTCATGCATTTTTAACTATTGCACTGAATGCACGTCCGGCATTCTCCCTTGAGACATTATTTACATAGCGACGGACACAGGTTTTCCATAGTTAACCATCTATGGTTTTTGCCTGGGCGGTTTTTAATGTCTGTGATAGGGATATAATTTATTACAAGTAGAATATTTTACAAATGCATTCCATTGCTTTATTGTTTCACATTCAATGTAATGTAAGTTAAATATGTATCAAAATAAATGCCAGCTGCTCCAACTAAGCTAACCTGGCTTACAGCATAGTTGTTGTATTATTTGAGGTGTAGTCTGTCAAATAATGATGAGTCGAGTGTTTGATTCTGTAGATGACCATTTCTAATACTAATTTCAACTGGAAATGGATACAAGATAATTTAAAAAGATATCTTTGACATTTGTCTTAAAATTCTGGGTACTGACTAGATTAGATTCTTTAAACCAACTGTAAAAATCCAAAGTATAAGTGTATTAAACAATAGTCAGCATTTAAATAAGACTTTTATAAAATATGTATATTTAATGAACTTTAATATGGCATTAAAGGTGAAAGGTTATATTTAATTATCTTTTCGTGTAAGTAAAGGTTACCTTTTCACCTTTACTTTTTGTAAAGTTAATACAAAGATGACCTTGCTTTTTGGAGCACCTTTAATGAAATTTACTTCGCAAGTAAAGTTTTGTAAAGGTGTTTTTTCAAGCAGTGTAAATATTTAGGAATTAACTTGACAAAACGAAAAAAAAAGGAATAACCAGCAGAAAAAAAAATTCAGATATAATTATGGTACTCATTTAAATGTTATATATTTTAATGGAGAAAAATAATTGAGATCGGCATTCCATAATTCTCGACTCACCGCACAAATTAAATTTACGATTATCATTACCATATGTTAAAAATTAATGTAAACAAACAGATCGTAATTAAATGTGGGCACGTACTGATTTTGCAAACATATGTAAAGAAATTGGGCTTCCAGAAGAATTAAGGAAAAAAAATATAATTAGCGTTTTAATTTCCCTACTAACAATGATTGGGAGACCCGGGATCGTGACTTGCGTCCGGCGTGTTATAATCAATTATTTTTTAAAAATCATAGGCCTGTATGGTAATAATGTTAAAGTATGTTTCATGTAAAATTTTATTTTTTCCTTAACTGAGCACCATGAAAATATCATGCATGTACATGTATAGTTAACTGAGCACCATGAAAATATCATGCATGTACATGTATAGTCTAATTGTTCCTGTATAACAGGTTTTTCTGTATGCAATTCTAAAAAAGAAGATATGACTAGACCATAAACCAAACAGACAAGTCAAAATGTAGATCTAGAATATCTTGACTTTCACATATTAAACATTTTAAATGTGAAATTGTTATGATTTTTTTATTTAAATTCATAATTTATACTTATCTAAAATTTTATTTCATCATCTGATGTGTTATTTTTCAAACATGTAAAATATATAGTTGCTAAATAAAATTTAAGATAATCGAAATGTTTTTTTTTTTCATTTAACTTCAGTTTCTTCTCAGTTTATGGTCAGCTCAGTGCTGTACACATGTATTTCAATTTTTAATTTTGTTTTATGTGTGAAAATTTAATAATTTATATTTAATAGAATATCTTTTCTAAATTGTTATCATCTGACAGATTTACAGTCATAAATACTGTAGTGAGGTCACACAAGTTCCTTAGATCTTATAAAACATGCATAAGAAATTAAGAATTCACAGTATTTTTAACTCATTCATGAGTAAGCCAGGCTTGTATTTGACCTTGGCATTTGATCTTAAATGTTAATCAGTGTCTGATTGAGAAATATTAAAATGCTCCACACATGTTTCTTAGATCTTATAAAACATACATAAGAATTCACAGTATTTACAGCATTTATAACACATTCTTGAGTAAATATTGTATATGACCTTGACATTTGATCATAAACTTTCAGTGTTTAATGAGGAAAAATACTTTATCAAGTTCACAATATTTTTATTCAAGGTGATTCCTCAACAATGTGTAACAATTGAATATTTCATTACCATGAGACAAAGTCAGTAAAAGTATCCATGTACAGCATTTATGAATTTCAATGCAAAGATCACAGATACATGTACATGAACTTTGTTAAATTTAAGTTTATCAATGTTTTTATCACAGTTGTATAATGTTTAACATGCATATGATTTGGCTTCCTTATCCATCTTTCAAACTTGAAATTCAAATGTCAGAGTTATTGTCAGAGAGATGGTCATAAACCGAACAGTTCCACAAATGTCAATAATGCACAGAAAACAAACACTGATCGCTTTTAAGAAAAGCCCCATGATTTCAGACTTGGGACTCTTTGACACAGGTTTGAACATCTTTCATCATTTACTCTAACAGCATATGGCATGATCTGCATTCTTACAGCTGCAAATGTGCAGGGTTTCCTGAAAAAAAAATATTAAAGGCATGTATTTTAAACATGTTAAATTTTGTCATACACATTTCATACACATTTAAAATTTAAAATGATTTTGATTGTACAATTGGCTTTAATTTCACCGTTTTCTCTCCCAAAAGTAACGCATTTTGAAATCATGAAAAATAAAATCTTATACTGCAACCTCAGTCATATAAGATAAAAAAAATCTTATTTAACATAATTTACTTGTACATTATAATTCATTTCATCTTGTCAACTTGCTAACAAGTATGAATACATTTGTTTGAGTGACTTTTCTCTATATTCTGCTTGTATTTATCTATTTAATGTTTTTTCTTGGTTTTCTCTTTTTTGGTCTTGAAATTTGAATATAAAAAAGAAGAAAATATCTATAAAACAACAACATGATGACCAGATGACCAGAAAACTTTCCTCAGTTTTATTCTCAAGATTCATTTTTGAAAGAAGAAAATCACTTGTTTCGAGAAACTGCAGACATGTCACCTCAACTCAGATAAAGATGTTTATGTATTTTAAAGACCATGTAAAAATACATGATAAAAATAAAATCATACATACTTTTTAGATTAAAATCCTTTATACTGTGATGACGTGTGAGTCCGGGCAAATCCATTCTCTGTAATGATGAATATTAAAAGATTGATTAATGTTTCATAAATCACAATACATCATATATACATGTACAATATGTAAGTGCACTGCTGAGTGAGCTTATTAAACATTTAAGGCAGTAGCATTAGAAATGGTCATGATGATTCTACTTTCATTTATTATAAATTACACTGAAATGAAAGTAACTATTTTCTGACCTTATTAGGGAAATGATGAGAGTAACAACCTGATTAAGGCATAATACATATGATTGTTATAGTCTTAG